GGTCTCTGCATAGTTCCCAGCTGATCCGCTGCCCCCAGGGCTCCATTTTGGCCCCCTAGTTTGGCAGCACTCCTGGCCCCAGCCCAATGGTTTATCCCCATGATTGCTCTCAGTGGGACACTTGAGGATCCTGGACCAGGGAACTCTGGATTATGGAGTTTCAACCTCTACTGTGTACACATGTGGCCACCTCATCTCAAAAAAGAGATCTTGGCACTGGAAAAAGTTCAGAAAAGGGCAAGAAAAATGATGAGGGTTTGGAAAGGCTGACACGTGAAGAGAGATTAAAAAGACCTGGGCTTTTCAGCTTAAACAAAAGGAGACGAAGGGGAGATAGGATAGAGGTCTATAAAGTCATGTCCAGTGTGAAGAAAGTGAATAAGGGAAAGTTATTTACTTGTTCCCCTAACACAAGAACTAGGGGTCACCGAATGAAATTAATGGGTAGCAGGTTTAAACCAAACAAAAGGAAGTTTTTCTTCATGCAGCACAGTCAGCCTGTGGGACTCCTGACAGAGGAGCTTGTGGGCCAGGACTTTACCAGGGTTCAGAAAAGAGCTAGATAAATTCATGGAGGGTAGGTCCTTCAATGGCTGTTAGTCAGAACAGGCAGGGAGGGTGTCCTTAGCCTCCATTTGTCAGAGGCTGCGAATGGGCAACAGGAGAGGGATTACTTGACAATTCCCTTTTCTGTTCATTCCCGCTGGGCACCTGGTGCTGGCCACTGTCAGAAGACAGGATACTGGGCTAGATGGACCTTTGGTCTGGCTGTTCTTATGTTCTTACAAACATTAAGGTAGCAAAGTCCATTGCTCACATGTTAGGAAATACCAGTATTAAGGTGCATCCAGGACTTCTGCTCATTAATGGCTCTCCAAGTCACCATGTTCTCAGGCCAATTCCACAAGCCAAACGCACAGGAAACTGTTGGAACTTAACTTCATTGACAGGTCTGAGACCCATCACAAAGGTCTGAACTAAGACATCACCTGGCTAGCACAGGACCTTCCCCATGCTAATGACAAACAATGGGTGCTTAAGAACAATTTGCACCCTCTCGATCAGCTTCATGTGGCATAAGCACTCTAATGGACTATTTCTTTCCCCCTTTTTCCTTCTTCCCTTCCTACCCCCATTCCCAATTTATTTTGGAACTGGACTTTTATTAACTCCATTCATCTGAGGAAGTGGGTTGTGCCCACAAAAGCGCATGCTACCATCTACATGTTTAGTTACTCTAAGGTGCTGCTAGACTGTTCACTGTTTAAGTTTTTATGGGTTCAGATTGTGATTGTATTAAACAATGGTCTTAAATGGCAGCAAAGGGAGGTTTAAGTTGGACACCAGGAAAAACTTCCTACCTGTCATGGTGTTAAACACTGGAATACATTGCCTAGGGAGGTTGTGGAATCTCCGTCACAGGCGAGGTTTAAGAGCAGGTTGGACAGACACCTGTCAGGGATGGTCCAGACGGTGCTTGGGCCTGCTGTGAGGGCAGGGGACTGGACTTGACCTCTCGAGGGCCCTGCCTGGTCTAGAGCGCTATGATTCTATGATTTCCTGTCAATGGTGCCGACTTTGAGCATCTGATAGTCTCTTCTCCCATATCTAGCTCCACACTTTTTTCCAGTCTACTCCATATGAGTCCACAGTGCTACACCCTGCTTCAGATCCTCAAGATCATTTTTGCTGTGGTTCATGCAAGAAGTCAGTGAACTAATGATCACTCTGACTTTAGGACCAGAAGAGTAGAGTTACGACCCATCACCTGCCAAAACAACAACAAACCCCCAAAAATCCCAAATCCATTACTTTGGAGCCATGACTTGTGCACGTTATCAGCCTGTGTAAATGTAATATAGTCTATATAGCCCTCACCTTCTCTTCATTTGTCTGTCATGCACAGTTGTCTTCTCTTACGCGAACTCTGAGCTCTGCAGGACATGAATTGGCTAGTGAGCGCTATCACAATACTAATAGTAAATACAACTAGATCCAGGAGTTCAGTGAAGTTGTTACTTTGCTCTGTGTTAAGTATAATAATGTAAAACATAAGCTGAAGGTTCAGTGTTTCTTATCACGTTTGTGTTTTGCTGCTACTCCTCTCTGCTGGTAAAACTTAATTTTCATATTCCCCGTATTTGGCACTGTACAGTCACTCTGCTGCTTAGCCATGCTTACCTCTTGTGTGATGGGTTTTGCTGCAGTGAAGTTGTTACTTTGCTCTGTGTTAAGTATAATAATGTAAAACATAAGCTGAAGGTTCAGTGTTTCTTATCACGTTTGTGTTTTGCTGCTACTCCTCTCTGCTGGTAAAACTTAATTTTCATATTCCCCGTATTTGGCACTGTACAGTCACTCTGCTGCTTAGCCATGCTTACCTCTTGTGTGATGGGTTTTGCTGTTACAGCTGTGATGTCTGTCTTGTTTTCTGACCCCCTCCCACCCCCCTACAAAAAGTTGGCAGGTGTCTTGAAGCTCTTTCAACAAAGCGGTGCTTCTTGGACACAACAGTGAGGTTGGAGTGCTTGTTTGGAACAAATGGATGTGGGAAATTTCTTTCCTTGGCCAACTCAACTTGACGTGGATACAACAGAACTTCATACAGTTGTTAGCTATTTGTAAATGTTACATGTTTATTTTTGAGTCTTTTTCTGGTCCATTTCTTACATATGTCTAATTCAGTGGAGTGGAAATGCCATGTAGTCACAGTTTTCTCTGAACCCATGTAAGAGTATGTACCGTTTACATTTGTGTATTTTTCTAATAACACATCGACTTGGTGTCTTTCAGGTTTTGCAGTGGGGAAAGCAAGTGACAGGATGACAGCTTTAAGAAAAGTATGTAATTATAAAAAGTTAATGTAAATATTTCATGCCTATTATAGTTGTCAAATACAGAAATATTTGCAGATATCAGTATTTAGTACATGCTATTAGTAGAGTTTTTCCTATATGCAAACTAAATAGTTTTGTTCATCTTGTCAGACAGTAGCTGGTAGTGTGTTATATCGTACACTCCTGTCACTTATTCATGGCTGTTCCAAACTGGGTACTATTGATACATGCTGTCTTTTGCAATTAACATGTTGAATTTTGAAAAAAATACATGAACAGAATAGCTCTGGTAACTTTATATATATTGTTGCCAGTTGTTTTCATTTCACAGTTGTTGTATCTTTGAAAGAAGGAAAAATATTTGTTTAAAAATCTAATTTTAAATGTAACTTTGTGCCTACTGCTTTTTTTGTGTGTGTGTTCATTTTTGGTTTGGGTTTTGTTCATTTTTTAGGACAAATATCATTGTCTTTGGAGTTTCATGTTACTGGGTCTGACTTCTCATGCTTCGGCACCCTAGTCAGCGGGGGGGAGGGGAGGGGTTGGTTTTCTCTGAAGCACAGTTGCTTCCTCGAGCCTTCCCTAAGGGTATGTCTAGACTACATGCCTCTGGCGACAGAGGCATGTAGATTAGACTACCCGGCATAGGAAAATGAAGCGTCGATTTAAATAATCGCCGCTTCATTTAAATTTACATGGCTGCCGCGCTGAGCCGATCAGCTGTTTGTCGGCTCAGCGCGGTAGTCTGGACGTTCCGCGGTCAACATCAAAGGCATTTGTCGACCTCCGAGGTATGTCTCATCCCAGAAGGGATGTCGACCGCGGAACGTCCGGACTACCACGCTGAGCCGACAAACAGCTGATCGGCTCAGCGCGGCAGCCATGTAAATTTAAATGAAGCGGCGATTATTTAAATCGCCGCTTCATTTTCCTATGCCGGGTAGTCTAATCTACATGCCTCTGTCGCCAGAGGCATGTAGTCTAGACGTACTCTCAGAGTGACATGTTGTTTCCCGGAATCCTGCTCAGATACTACATGCCCAGCTCAGCTGTCCTCAAACCAGTAATGATAAAATAACCAAACTTTAATGCATGCCTCTGTTACCAAGTTCAGATAAATCTCTCTGGGACGGTATCCATTTAGTTGAAAATATGTTATTTTATTAGGTTATTGGTGTTCAGTATGACATCAAGGTGGACAAAAAGTAGCTATCGTTTCCTGAATGTAGTTGTGCTTGGATGACTAGCTGAAGATTTGAGGTCCTCCAGTCAATTATTGTAAGAAGAAATATTTTGCTTGTTTGCTTTTTCTAGGCAAAGAACAGAGCAATTCACTATTTACACTATGTAGAGCGATACCAAAATCACACAAGTAAGTACTGAGGGGGTTTTTTTAGACTCCTTTAAAAGTTTTCAATTGTTAAATATACCAGTCTGCAGCCGGCTGTGGCAAAACCAGATGTATTTACTCACATTTTTCTCGCCTGACTGCGTTGTATTGTAGTTCTGCTTGTATTTCATTTCTTCAGAGTGCTGTCTTTCGTCCCAGGCCCAATCTGTATTGGCTAGACAGATTGATCACATCAGACAGCTCCATGCCAGCTGCAGTGGAGAGAGTAGTCACCATTATCTGGGATGAATATCCAGTTTACACTTTATTTTCATTGTCTCAAATCAACAATTATAGGAGGATCAACAAAGAAAACATGGCTTGGTTTCAATAGGGGTTGCTGTTCCCCAGGCATTAGCTCCAGCCAAGCAGAAAGGGGATTTGATTGTATCTAAGGAGTAAAGCAATCTAAATACTTGGCAAGTGGATAACCTGGGGGGAGGAACAGCCAAGCTGGGGAGAAATATGATAAGTTTTCAGCTTTGGGGTGGGGGCTTTTGTTTGTTTTTGAAACTGTTAAATCTGAATCCCAGGAAGGAGGTGAACTTTCACAATATATAAACACTGTGCAAAACAGAGTGGATGAGAACCTGCTCTTATAACCTTTGTATTTGCAAATGACTGCTGATTCTGCCTGTGTAATACAAAATTAACAGTATTACAGCTTTGCAGTATCAGATTTTTATCTAGATGCACCCTTCTGCTGAGATTCCTAAGAGAGAATAAGCTATAATCCCTTATCGGAGGTCTGGACTCTGCATATGCTGATATCCTGAATTTAATTGAACTGAATAATTCTCAGAGACTGATACTATAACAAGATTATTTTTATTTTCAGTTTATCATGATATTACAGCGACTTTTAAAAAAACAACCATCCGGATGAAAAAGCAAAACAAAGGTAACTAACAACTGGGTTGGAGGTTCTCAGCATTATGAAGCAGATCATTAATGTTTTGGTGGCACAGGAAATACGTACCTACTGAAGCTAGTTATTCTTTGCTGTAAGGCTCTCGGAGACAACTTTCTGTTTCAGAAGGTTGAAAAAGCTACCAGAGGAGAAGCTGTTCTGGATTTGGTTTTAACAAATAGGGAGGAACTAGTTGAGAACTTGAAAGTGGAAGACAGTATAGGGGACAGTGATCATGAAATAATAGAGTTCATGATCTTAAGGAAAGGTAGAAGGGAGACCAGCACAATTGAGGTTATGGATTTCAGGAAGGCAGATTTTGATAAGCTCAGAGAACTTGTAGGTAAGGTCCCATGGGAAGCAAGACTGAAGGGAAAAACAACTGAGGAGAGTTGGAAGTATTTCAAAGGGACGTTGTTAAGGGCCCAAAAGCAAACAATTCCGCTGTGTAGGAAAGATAGAAAATATGGCAAAAGACCAGCTTGGCTTAACAAGGAGATCTTGCATGATCTCAAAATAAAAAAGGAGTCATATAAAAAATGGAAACTAGGACAACTAACAAAGGATGAATATAGGCAAGCAACACGGGAATGCAGGGGCAAGATTAGAAAGGCAAAGGCACAAAATGAGATCAAACTAGCTACAGGCATAAAGGGAAACAAGAAGACCTTTTATAAATACATTAAAAGCAAGAGGAAGACCAAGGACAGGGTAGGCCCACTGCTTAGTGAGGAGGGAGAAGCAGTAACAGGGAACTTGGAAATGGCGGAGATGCTCAATGACTTCTTTGTTTCGGTCTTCACCGAGAAGTCTGGAGGTGTGCCTAACGTAGTGAATACAAGCAGAGAGAGGGTAAGTTTAGAAGATAGGATACACAAAGAACAAGTTAAAAATCACTTAGGAAAGTTAGATGTCAGCAAGTCACCAGGTCCTGATGAAATGCATCCCAGGATACTCAAGGAGCTGATAGAGGAGGTATCTGAGCCTTTAGCTATGATCTTTGAAAAATCATGGCAGACAGGGGAGATTCCAGAAGACTGGAAAAGGGCAAATATTGTGCCCATCTATAAAAAGGGGAATAAGAACAACCCAGGAAATTATAGACCGGTCAGTTTAACGTCTGTCCCAGGGAAGATAATGGAGCAGGTAATTAAGGAAATCATATGCAAACATTTGGAAGGTAATCAAGTGATAAGTAATGGAGCAGGTAATTAAGGAAATCATATGCAAACACTTGGAAGGTAATAAAGTGATAGGGAATAGCCAGCATGGGTTTGTGAAGAACAAGTCATGCCAAACTAATCTGATAGCTTTCTTTGATAGGATAACGAGCCTTGTGGATAAGGGAGAAGCGGTGGATGTCATATACCTAGACTTTAGTAAGGCATTTGATACGGTCTCGCATGATATTCTTATTGATAAACTAGGCAAATATAACTTAGATTGCACCCACCTTTTCATGGCTCATAATTGGCTGGATAACCGTAGTCAGAGAGTTGTTGTTAACGGTTCTAAATCCTGCTGGAAAGGGATAACAAGTGGAGTTCCTCAAGGGTCTGTTTTGGGACCCGTACTGTTCAATATCTTCATCAATGATGTAGATATTGGGATAGAGAGTACTCTTATTAAGTTTGCAGATGATACCAAACTGGGTGGGGTTGCAACTTCTTTGGAGGATAGGGACATAATTCAAAATGACCTTAGCAAGTTAGAGAAATGGTCAGAGGTAAACAGGATGAGGTTTAATAAGGAGAAATGCAGAGTGCTCCACTTAGGAAGGAACAATCAGTTCCATACATACAAGATGGGAAGCGACTGTCTAGGAAGGAGCATGGCGGAAAGGGATCTAGGGGTCATAGTGGACCACAAGTTGAATATGAGTCAACAGTGTGATGCTGTTGCCAAAAAAGCAAATATGATTCTAGGTTGTATCAACAGGTGTGTTGTAAGCAAAACTCGTGAAGTCATTCTGCCGCTCTATTCTGCACTAGTTAGGCCTCAGCTGGAGTACTGTGTCCAGTTCTGGGCGCCACATTTCAAGAAAGATGTGGAGAAATTGGAAAGGGTACAGAGAAGAGTGACAAGAATGATTAAAGGTCTAGAGAAGCCTATGAAGCCAGGCTTCATGAACTGGGCTTGTTTAGTTTGGAAAAAAGAAGATTAAGGGGGGACATGATAGTGGTTTTCAAATATCTAAAAGGGTGTCACAAGGAGGAAGGTGAAAATTTGTTCCTCTTGGTTTCTGAGGACAGGACATGGAGTAATGGGCTTAAAGTGCAGCAGGGGAGGTTTAGATTGGACATTAGGAAAAAATTCCTAACTGTCAGGGTGGTCAAATATTGGAATAAATTGCCAAGGGAGGTGGTGGAATCTCCCTCTCTGGAGATATTTAAGAACAGGTTAGATAGACATCTGTCAGGGATGGTGTAGACGGAGCTTGGTCCTGCATTGAGGGCAGGGGGCTGGACTCGATGACCTCTCGAGGTCCCTTCCAGTCCTATGATTCTATGAAATCGACAGCCTGACGCTGGTCCATCGTATTGTAACTGCTGTTGGTTGCTGATTCCGTGCATTGGAACTCCCAGCCATTGCTGTATCACTGTCGTATATTTAAATCATTGATCTGCTCTTGTCTTGGTCCTCTTTTCTTCCCTGAGTCCCAGCCTCTTCCTCCAGGGCTACCTTAATTTCCTCTCCTTCCAGCTTCCTGAGGGGCCCTCCAAGCCGCCTGGACGTGGGAGCTGCTCTAGTGCTGGTGGGGTTTCGGGCAATTTTCCACCCGGAAATGCTTAGCAACAAAGCCCATGAGCGCTAGTGTGGGTGCTCTCCTAACGTATCACCCGAGTTATTTTTCCCCCTCTCCCTTCCTTTAGAACAGGCACGTTACCACTTTCCTTTGAGATTTGGCTGTGCCTCCCATGAGAGACAATAAGAGTGTCCCTCAGGGCCACACATTCACCTTGTTCCTTGTGTTTCCATGTGAGGACATAACAGGCAGGGTGGCTGCCTGCCACCCTTCATCAGGTCCCTGTTCCTGGCCAAGGCAGTGAGAGAGAACCCAGTGAGTGTGCCAGAAGCTGCTGCTGTTTGAGCTTCAAAACTTCTTCCTTTTTGTCACTAATTTGGTCATGAAACTTTGTCTTCCCAGAACAAAGCAGCAGCAACTCTCCAGTACCCCTGTGCAGTGGGGCCTCGTGCTGCCCACCATAACTCGTGGCTGAGTCTAAGCCATCGCGGTTCCTACCCATCTTGTGCTGGACTCCTCTCCCTCACTGACAGGCACAGCCAGGGCTTCTCCTGCCCAGGAAGGGCCATATCCCTCTGCGAGTCCTCAGGGACCCACCAGGACACTCAGCTCAAGTTACATCTGCTGGCACAGTTCCTGAGAGTCACGAACACAGAGGAAACAGCAGCCACAAGAGCCGAGCTTAGACGGAGCAGCCACCTTCGTTCCCAGAACCCACGCCGCCGCCTGGGCTCAGGCAGAGAAAACAGCACAAGGGTCATCAACAAAGTTCCGACAGCAGATGGTGCAGCTGCGGTCATGGCGCGAAGGCAGATACCGAGAGGCCAAGCCAGACAGTGTGAAAGCCAGGCACAGTGACGCAAAGCACGACTTCTCCAAGCCCTCCGCCCGCACGGGCATGGTTCTAGGAGAGCCAAAGCCAGCCTGGAGCCAAGAGCTGTTGGTGGAGGAGTTGGCCTCGGGAGAGGACACGCTCTGTACCAGCATGTGGATGAACGCTACGGCTGTGTCACTGCTGGCACCAGCATTTGCAGAGATGTGCTCCTCCATCCTCGCTGACCTCCTGCTCCTCACTGACATCAAGCGGGTGTCTCTCTCCCCCACCCTTAGGGCTCAGCCCAAGGAGGGTGCAGAAAACCCCTAGTTTAGAGCCCCACAGATAAGGGATGGGCTACACTGGGCCAGCCAACCTCGGTTTTGGCCACATGGTCGTATTGGCCTGGCTGCTGGAGCAGATTGGTTTTGCTTGTCCCAGAGGAGGAAGCAATCTTGTTCTCCAGGGGAGCCAGGCTGCCCACACAAGAGCCAGCTTGGAGCAGTGGAGAGACAGCTGCAACCCCCATCTCTACCTACAGGCCCAGCCTCATCGCCTGGCAAAGCAGTGGCAACTTGCCCAGGCTGGGAACAGA